GAAAAGTGGACTACCACATGTACATATTTTGATAATATTGTATACAGCTAATTATATGTATATAGTAGAACAAATTAATAAGGTTATATCAGTAGAAATTACAGATAAGAAAGAAGACCTTGAGCTTTAGGAAGCAGTTACAATCTGTATACTTCATGGGCCATGTGGGACAAGGTATCAGAATACTCCATGTATGATTGATAAAAGAGGTCTCATTGGCTGCTGCTCAAAATATTATCAAAAATCAATTATGAAGGAAACTATCTTACGAGAAGATAGTTATCCAAACTATCACTGGAGGTGTGATAGAAGATATGTCTACAAAAATTGAACTCAGATAAATGGAAAGATATCTCACTTTCAGTATGACTATCGCTAGGTTATTCCATATAATCCTTTTCTTTCAAACCATTATAACTATTACATTAATGTTGAAGTCTGTTCTTCAATACTAGTAATTAAGTATTTATACAACTATGTTTATCAGAAGCATAACCATGCAAACATATTTATTAATAATCTATTCCATATTAATAAAGTAAAAATATATCTTGATATCCTCTACATTTCTGCTCCAGAAGTATAATAGCGACTACTTGGAAATAAGATGCATGATGGAAGTCGTCCTATTTAATACCTTCAATTACATTTACCTAAACACTATTCCATTTACTTTTACACCAATGATATTTATCAGAAGATTATTGATCAACCAAGTAGCAGAGATACTACCTTGACAGCTTATTTTAAGGCAAAATCCAAGTATCTGCTTGCATAAGAATTGTTATATTAGGACTTTCCACTATACTTTATCTTCAAACAGAAAGAATGACAACGGACCCCCTATAAGCAAGGAATATCAATTGGCTGGATGTATATCTGTAGTCCAAAGGCAGGAGAAAGATTCTTTGAAAGACTTCTACTTCTACTTATACAGGGTATGACAAGCTACAACTCTTTGAGAACAGTAGATGTTATCCCTTATTCAACATTCTATGAGGCCTATAATGTAAGAACCGTTAGCAAACAAGGATAAGTTGGAAGAAGTCCTTCTGGATTGATCAGTAATGTTAACTGGATCTTAACTACATCTGCTATTTTCAGTTATCCTAACTAAGTACAATCCTGCAGAGTCAGGGGAGTTATGGGAAATGTTTAAGGCCTTCCTCACAGATGATTGTATTTATTAGTTAATACACCAATATGATATCATGAAACCATCAGAAAATCAAATGCTCTCACTTGGCCTTGGTACACTTGAGGAAATTATCCAACAAAGTGGCAAGTTACTTACAAACTTTGAAATTCCAGAATCTAGCTACCAATTTCTACCAGTTAATGAGCACAACCTGTAAAATATTAGAGGTGTAATTATAGAAGGTGTATAAGATCAAGCAATACTGAAGGAAGGAGTACAGAGAAATTTTCTAAAATGCAATACACTTCAAGGAAATGCTGTCAATGAAGTAATGTAGTCTATAAACTTCAGTCGTCCAAGACTATTTTTGTTAAATAGACCTGGAGGAACAGGGAAAATCTTTATTGAGAATCTGCTGTTAAGTACAATTCATCCCGAGAGACATATTGCAATTGAACATGCATTAAGTAGTATTGCAGCAACTGTATTAAATTCAGGAAAAACAGCTCATTCTACCTTGAAAATTCCTATTATTATTGACAAGGATTTTTATTAGAATATTCTAAAATATTCAAATCTAGCACACTAAATTCAGCAAGCAAAGATACTTATCTGGGATGAAACACTAATGCAATATCATCATGCAATTGAGACCATAGATAGGACCTAACGGGATATTTGGAATATTCTCTTTCAGGAATTTGCTGGCCTGATATTTCTCTTTGCTAGAAACTTTACTCAGTGCTTACCTATCGTACCATGAGGGTCATGTGTACAGTCATGTCCATAAAGTCTTCATACCCTGGCGCGGCAATGGTGTTGTCCTCCATCCCCACAACATCCGCCTCTACCATCATTCCCCCCACATACTTGAAGAGCTAGAGAAAACCAAAATAAGGAAATTTATTCCCTGTATAAACATACTGATATGGGGTATAATAAAATTGTTAAGGTTATGGGTATCTCTAAAGCAACTGTTCAATCAGTAGTCAAAAGAGCTGAATCAAGAGAAGGAAATACCCATAATGCCCGTAGATCTGGAAGACCAACAACAATTACCCCTCAAAAAAGAAAGATAGTGGAGTCCATTATCGATGCCGAGCCTCATTTAGCGTTACGTGACATTACCAAAAAAGTGAATATTGGTCTGGGAAAGACATCTGCGGATAAGATCATATGAGAAGCTGGTTTTAAGCTTCTGATACCTAGAAAAAAACCTTTTTGGAGGAAAGGACAGAAGGAGAAGAGAAAGAAGTTTGCTAGAAGAAGGAGGAATTGGAGGAGTGCATAGAATTGGATTGTTTTTGTGGATGAAGCTACCATTATCTATGATCCAAATTCTACTGGCAGGAAAATTAGAGTTAGACCTGGTGAAGAGCTGGAAGAAAAAAACTTGAAGCCTAGCTTTAAGTCTGAGAGGACTAGTATTGTGGTCTATGCTGCAATTATGAAGGGTGGCAGGACTGAGTTAATTCATGTGAGGAAGAGGGGAGAGGAAGAAAGGACCAGTAAAAGAGACAGACTTGGCCTCAATTCCCACCAATATGCAACTGAAATCCACCAGCCATACCCCATCCCTTTTATAGAAGGTCTGGATAGACCGTCTTACAACATCTACCTAGCAGCAGACAATGCCTCTTGGCATGGTGGTGAGGAAAACAGAAAATTGTAGTCAGACTGTGGTTATCAAAAATTGCCTTGACTACCCAACTCACCAGATCTCAATCCTATTGAGAACACTTGGGCTCTGCTCAAAAGAGCCCTCAGAAATCGATTCTCCAGGTTAGATAGGAGGCCTCACAGTGCTGCTGAATTATTTCAGGCAGCAAAGGAGGAATGAGATTTAATTTCCCAAGAGAAGTTGGATGGGTGGATAGATAGGATGCCTGAGAGAATACAAGCTGTACTAGATGCAGATGGTGGTCATACAAAGTGGTAATAATATTTTCATAAGGCTTATTAGTTCTATTCATATACTTTTCTTAATTGAGTTGTTTGAATTTTTTTCAATTTTCTATGGAGAAGTGTTGTGGTTATGTGGTTGCGCCGCTGGGGTATGAAGACTTTACGGACACAACTGTACAGATTGTTGTCTATGTTTTAAGAGATCTTATCTCAAGCCCTGTGTGGTTGGCCTTCAACTTAAGGAAAACAATCAGCTATTTGGAGGCAATATGACACCTTAGTACTAGAGGAATGCTACTAAGTATACAGAATTTATTCTGGCAGTAGGAGGAAAGCAGTTTGAAGAACGTGATATTGATCAAGTTTACTTACTTGGAGCATTACAATTTCTAAACAACAAACTGGAAGAGCTTATTACCAGTGTCTATCAAGAACTCATTGAAGGAGTGCCAACTCCTTAATATCTTGCTGAAAGGCCATTTTGGCACCATGAAATATTGATGTTATGGGTATTGATGATAAGATTTTGGATCTACTACAAGGATAGGCTACTATATACTTTAGTGCTGATATAGTTATAGAAGGAGCAGCCGAACTCTATTCTATTAAGTATCTAAACTTACTTACACTATTTGCAATACCATATCATCATCTTTTACTCAAAATTGGTGCTATTATTATACTTCTTAGAAACTTAAGTCCTCTCTATGGTCTCTGCAATGGAACTAGACTTTAAATTACATAAATTGGAAGGAACCTTATTGGTGGAATACTTCTTACAGCTATAGGTAAAGAATAAAAGGCCTATCAACCATGTATTCAAATTATAAGCAATCTAGATAGCAATCTTGGATTTCCGCTTAACAGAAGACAGTATCCTGTTCGGCTAGTCTTTGCCATGACAATCAACAAAAGCCAAGGGCCATCATTAGAGGTTGTTGGAATTTCTTTAGAAAATGATATTTTTCCTCATGGCCAGCTATATGTAACATTGTCAAGGGCATCTAATCCTCACAATGTCAAGGCATTGTCCAGGAATAATGCACAAATTGGTGTTACAAAGAATGTTGTTTTCTTTGAAGTCTTATAGTTTATTTTAAAATTATGTACTATTCTATTAGAAGCAAGTACCTGTATGGGTCATGGTTAAATGAGAAGTGATATGTATTTGTAACATTAATTCAACATTGTTTAGTATCACAAAACCAGTGTAGTAACACACGGCCAAGTACTTGTCTGTTATAGAACTATGCAAATGGCGATCATGGCGCGTTTTCCTTCGCTTTTTTTGGAGGGGGAAAAAAGTCCGGCGAACGCAAAACATTCTGGTCCCTGAACCCCCATGTAGTTTAGTTTCTGCTCTCTCATTGTTTGAGTGGCCCAGGAGCCAATGAAAATTAGATCGATTCACCGACCCTTAACCCTCGGTACGGCTGGTTTTGTGAACGCACAATCAGAGAGAACACAGACCAGTGATTAACTTGAAAGACATTGTTTTGGCATGTGACCCTGTGCCCTTGTATCATACTCGAGTAAGATGGTGGAATTTCACCAAACGGCCTTGGTACACCTTTAACACGCTTTGCACCATTCGAGTTAAGGGATAAGACAGAGCCGGCAACGCTGTTTTTGCCCTTTGGCTGCAGGAGCGTTCCGGGAATTCTTTCGGAGGCGGGAGGCTGTGTCTCCCATCTGGTCCCGTTAGCTTGGCCATTTCTTAGTCTTCGGACCACCCTACTAGTACAGTACCGTGACTGGTGTAATAGAAATTATGCTCGAAACCATTTTCTACCCCCCCCTCCTCCTTCCCTCTTGCTAGTAGTCACTCTCTCAACTCACTCACTAGCAAGCGATCCCTTGCCCACGATACAAGTACAACCTGTAAACCGGTTCCCCCCCCTTCCCCCTTCCCCCTTCCCCCTTCCCCCCCCTTCCCCCAGACGCTCTTTCTCTCTTTCTTTCACCATCGAACCCTACCTTTCCCACAACCCTTTTTTCGCCTTGTTTCTCTTTTTTCCTTTTTCCACTCTTTCTTTCGTCCTCTCCTGGCCTGTCGCTTCCACATCCTGAACCCTTTTTACAAACCGCTCAAGCTGCTCCTCTCATCTCCATCCTATCACTCGTTATCGCTTTTCTTCAAGGCCCCCTTCTCCTGCCCCCACTCGCGACGTTAAATCATTAGCCATCACTGTATCTGTCGGCCCCTTTGCATAGGGTCGACCCTCGTGCCACTCGCGCTCCAGCTGCTTTGCCCTCCGCGGCTCCATCTTGCCGATATTGAGGGAGGTGCCTGTTCTTACGGGACTGGCTCAAACATGGCTAAGCTATCTACCCTCCTCTACATATCCATCTTCGCTTTTCTGCTAGCGCGCTGCTCGCTGGCCGAGGAACAAGCCTTTCAGAAACGTCAAGATGATCAGACGAGCGACGATGCAGCTACAACAACGGTCTCGTCCCCTGGTAGGACCTCGACCACTATTGTAACTTCAACTTCCTCGAGACAAACTACATCTCGCGCTTCGACATCGCAACCCTCTCTCACAACTACCCGCACTACCACACCTGCAACTACATCCAGACAAACTACTCAGGAAACTGCTACGGGTCCAACGGCCATTAGAAGTTCACCCAGTACACAGGGTGATAAGCCGGCGGAGACTACTGCCGGCTCTAACAATGATCCGACATCCGATCCGGAGAGCACGACCCCCATGACCACCCTAAGCCCGACAACCCGTCGCTCAGTTATAACTATATTCAGTACTATCACCAGCGGCACTAATACTGGCCAAGTTTCTAGTTCTGTGTTTACGAGCACTACTGTTGAAACTCCAATCGTTCAGGCGTCGTCAGGTGGTCAAAATCAGGGGCCGAATAGCAGGAGTGAGGCTCTTAAACCAGCCACTAGGAACACTATCATCGGTGCGGTAGTGGGCGTTGGAGGCGCTCTCTTGGTCGGAGGTTTGGTAATTTTCGCGTGGCGGTTAAAGAGGAGGAGAGTAAATCCTGTGGATGAAGATGATTTGATGCGTCGTGATGGTTCCCCGCTTGCCGCAGGACGGGACATGCGTACCACCAGCCCGGAGGAATCACCTTTCAAGTCAACACTTGACCAATACCACAAACCCCCTGGCACTGTCAACGCCTCATCAAACTTTTAGGATCGACTGCCGTTACCTTCGGGTTTTATTTCCTGGACGTGGAGTATGTCACTTCATTTGTTCATCTGGACCATTCCTTCCTATACCTTAATACCTTCCGTTTTTTTTTTGTTTTTTGTTTTCTGTCAGCGCTCTGTTTATACTCATGACAACGTTTTCCACTATTATCAAATCATTCATTTGAGTGGGAGGAGGTTATCACACCGAGTAAATTTATGCATGGGGGGTTCTTTCATGAGTTATACTTTTGAATGGTTAATAAGGTAACGAACTCTGGGGGATTTCTATTTATTTTTCTTCCTTTCCTTCTGTTTTTTTCCTCTCTAATTTTTTTTTTTTTTGAGGAAGTGGCGTTTGCTTGGACTGGATGTAGATGGGAATGTAATCGATTCATTTTCAGCGAGGTGAATTACTGCGATCAGGACTATTCTCAGGTATCACAACTAGTATTTTGGTACCCTTCCCCCTTGGAGATATCATTAGTGTAAGCTATGGTAATATAATCGCTTGCAAGTCATGAAATATTGCCGGCATTTGACTATTATCTATAATTCGGATAGCATAGTCGCCGCACTTCCTAGCCTCATTGCTTCTTGGCTGCAGCAATACTGGTCTTAATGTTTTAGGATAAACCTTCATGCAGCGATTTGTCGCTTAGTTTATCGCGAGTCAACCTTGATCGTACCATTTTTCATCCGGTTATGATTAGAGTGGTCTTTTTTGGTGCTGGAGTATCTGATTGCGGGATGTCCCATTCGATATGACATTTAGGGGTGCTTTGTAAAGTGAATGGAGGACTTGAACTGTGGAGTTCATGTGCCTTAAGCCGCTCTATATACTCGAGTATAATTTTGCAGCGCTGATATCGGCCACTTGGTGGGTTTAGCTGAATTTTTTTTTAAAAAAAATAAAAAATTAGGTACGAGGGATAGTTCACCTGTTTGAAGTTTCAATATAAACATTGAAAAACAATCATACACTCTGGAAGCGAGCTATTATAAGTCGGTATAATTTTAATGGGAATGCAAACAATGGGATGGATTTGCTCCGCATAAATCCGGTTTCAGAAGGGTTCATTCATGACGACCTTTTGCCCCAAATTGCTCTCTGCCCGCCTTCCGAGCCCCAGCTTTGAGAACCGATGCAACCGCTGAAATAACCGGGTAATTGACAAAAAAAAAAAAAAAAGATAGTCAGGCCTTAGAGCAAAGGGTCCGGGCAGCCAGCTGTGACCCAGGCACGGAAAAGAATGTCCAGAAGTCTACCAACCTTTCTCTCCAACCATTTCCCTACAGTAACATCAAAAAAAGTTTGTTCACTATACTACCCATCTGCTCTACTCCTCAGCACTTCCAAACACGGACAAGTCGTCGACATCTCATTATGTCTATCCCAGCCTTCTCTGACATTGCTAAGCCCTCCAATGATGTAAGTTGGGCATTGACCGCTGTTCCTGATCTGCTCTCTGCCTCTCAGTCAGAATACCCCTGCTGATGCTCAGGGTCAAAGCTCTTGACGAGGGACTTTTATCACACGGCTTCTGGTTTGTCTTACCCGGGTTTTATTGTCAAAGATGTGAACAGCTTCGGGCGAAGTCTAACAGAAATATTTTATAGCAAACCTTGAGGTCAAGTCGAAAGCTCCTAATGGTGTTGCTTTCACCGTTAAGGGAAAGAATGACCACAAAGTCGGAGCCATCAGTGGTCAGGTATGCATCGCATCTTACACTAGTTCGTGGTATGTATACAGACTAATTACTTCTTCTTACTCCTAGATTGAGGCCAAGTATTCCGACAAATCAACTGGTAAGAATTACTTATTTCGGGAGTCTTACGATTTCTTTTCCCCCTTTCCCATTCCTCTATGGTCTTTTTTTTTTGTTACTAATGGATTGTTATGATAGGTGTGACCCTTACCCAGGCCTGGACAACCACCAACGCTCTCGATACTAAGATCGAGTTGGACAATACTCTTGCAAAGGGTCTTAAGGCTGAGGCCATTATTAACCCCCTGCCCGCAAGCAAGTCCAAGGGAGCCAAGCTCAACATCCATTTTCGTCAACCATTGTTCCATGCCCGTGGTTTCTTTGATATTCTTAAGGGTCCCTCTTTTACGGGTGATGTCGTTGTCGGTCATGATGGCTTTCTCGCGGGTGCTGAAGTTGGCTACAATGTGGTCAGTGGCAGTATCACTCGTTACTCTGCCGCCGTGGGATACTCTGTGCCCGAGTATACCGCTGCTATCACTGCGACAAACAACTTAAATCTTTTTGGTGCCTCTTACTACCACCGTGTCAATGCCCAAGTTGAGGCTGGTGCTAAGGCCACATGGGATGCCAAGGGTGGAAACGCGAGTGGTGTTGGTCTTGAGATAGCAGGCAAGTACAAGCTTGATTCTTCTGCTTTCTTCAAGGCCAAGATCAACAATCAAGGAATTGCTGCTCTTGCCTACAACCAACTTCTCCGCCCTGGTGTTACCTTAGGTCTGGGGGCCTCAGTTGATACCCAGCGCTTGAATGAGTCTGCTGCAGCCCACAAGGTTGGTTTATTTGCAACGTAATTACGATTCCCTAGCTTGCTAACGGCACACTACAGCTTGGTCTTAACTTTGTCTTCGAGGCTTAGGTGTAGAGTCATGACGGAATAGGCACCTTGTATGATTACCCCACTCAATTCATATACTACTGAGACATGCTGATCTTTGCAAGGGGTACCAGTGTTACTTGAAGCCTGTTAATAGAAGCGAACTTTGATCTTCTCTTTGTAGTTATCCGGTCCGAACAAAAAATGCCACTATGCGGTTTTTTCCGTATAAAAATCTCGAATGATCGATCGCCAAAGTTTATCGTGATCTATTTTTTATACCACATTATGTTTTGGTGCCCCTGATTCTCTTGTTTCTATACCGGGGGAGAGTGATAGAATGCGGATATAAGGCTTTCGTTTGAAAGGGGATTGGTTACTACCCCCCGTGAAACTCCGAGTGATATTTCAAGTCCAACACATACTCAAGCGCTAGTGTATTCCTTTCTGTCGGACTCCAACCATTTCTACGGCGAAGCCTGTTTTGCCCCCCCCATCAGGACCATAACACTACACGATATATCATAGAACGTAGGGAGAAAGATACGATAATGAAATTTACATGAATTAACGAGTGTCAAAATGGAGGTAGTCAAATCCTAGCAATTAATTTCATGTTAGACACACAGATTTTGGGATAGGCACAGTTCCTTCATAGAGTAACAAATCCACAAATCCACAATCTAGGGAGTCCAACTCCTCCTCTGACCTTCACATTGGGTCCACCTGTCCATATCTCATTGGATGCAATACATGATATCTATCATAGTTCATGTATGCAACTCTTATTGCTGATAAAGTATTTTTGATATGAATAGATTTTCTACCAATATTGCCTGGAATGGTAAGACTCCCTGAATATAAACTGAAAGCTTCAAATAAAAGGAAATTTGTTTTATCCTATAGACAAGCATACTCTCTATATCAGGAAAGTATGGAAGAAATTCTAATAGCTAAATGTGAAGATATCATGAGTTGAAGTTGACCACTTCAAATATCTTTCAATATCTATTTAAGACTAGTTGTATATTGAATAGCCTCAGTTGGGATCCTTTTCTAAGATGAGTGGTTTAAGTACAAGCTTACTTAGCTGGGAAGACTGATAAGTATGAGACATATACAGTAATGACATAGTAGTCTCAAGTTCACATAATATACAGAAAGTTGTTAGTTATACTAATAGTTGGTTCCCCTCCTATTTAGCTGTTACTCAGAGTTGGGGAAAACAAGTGGGACATATGGTATTTTTTTTTTTTTTTGACTTACAAGGAGAATGAAGCCTAGCTAGTAACTGCACCCTACTTCAACAATTGTAGATCCAATCCCGTACCACCTCCTCTCAGTAGTTCTAAATAGTTCTCAACTACCAGCCTTCAGTCAGTAATGGCAATCTCTCCCCTGTAGCAACTTTGTTACCACTTGGCCTGTAGGTTTGTGACTGTAATAGTTGCTTCTCAGAGGACTCTGACTGTTTCCTCTCTAGTGACTCCAATAGCCTCCCCTGTAGCAACACAGATTCCTTCCCTTTTAGCAGCTTCTTCTTTTTTCATGCATTTTATCACTCTATTATGAGAAATACTGACTTTGTGTATCTTTCAATTATGTCTTTGTATACTACTACTCTATGAAATTTAATATCTCTGATTGCAATGTACTATTATATAAGCTTCTCTTAGTATTTCCTGGTAAAAGAAAAAAAGCCAGCATGTCCTACTTGCTTTTGTGTTTCACTTGTTTTTCCCAACTAAGAGCAATAGTGAAATAGGAGGAGAACCAGCTATTAGATAACTTTACTATAGTAAAAGACAACTGTCACAATAGCTCATTTAATAATATTAAGTTATTAGTTAATAACCTTAAAATCAGTAGAATATTATTAGGAATACTTGATATATATTTTCTATAAATGAAAATAAATACACATAGTTAAAATGATATCGTAGTTTTCAGGATTTTAGGAAATTTATCATTCTAAGAACCTACCAAATAGTGTATAAAGAAGACAAAGTACTTTAGTAACATGGTAAATAGTAGTAGTTTATAGATATTTAGATATATGATATATTGATATTAAGTTTCCTAGCCAACTTTTAAGTATTATTATGTAATAGAAAAGAGAACTTAATTGTAATAAAATTATACTATTTCTTACTACTGTAACTAGCTTGATATTCGTTCTTGCCTACTTCAGACTTCATCTAGTAGTACATACATATCCGTTATGTACAGATTTGTATAAATAGTTATAATTTCTTTGCTCATATAATAGTCCTACTTTGTTAAGGTAGTTTTTTAACAGGTAACAACAATGTACTTTTCCTGATATTTTTAGAATAGTTTTTAGACTGATTTCTATGTTATAATCAGATATAGTATCAAACTAAATATGTTATTTGTCTCTTACTATAATATGTTATGACACTCTTGTCATGTAACATATTTCACCTTGAAACCTCCTATCGCGGTGTAACTGTCCACTCATGATACCTGCTGTTATTCCGCTTTGGAATATCTGCACATAATGATCAGTATCGCAAACCACACAAGATTTTAAACATAGGTCAAGTAAGACAACAAGGTGATGCTTTAAGAGAAATGCTTTTTGATTGGGCATTAGAAGATTTTCAGATAGGCCAAGCTGATAGTACTAGGAGCATAGTAGAAAACAGTGTCTTGTAGTAGAAAACATTAAGCAAGAGGAAGCGAGGTGCTGCCAATTGAGTCCTAAGCTGTAAGGATCTGCAGTGCTTGATAAATACTGAAGAAATAGCAATTGTAGCATAGAGTAGAAAGTTGATAGCTATGAAAAGCTACTAAAAATGGAGTAGGTGAAGTAGATAACTGTCTGGTTCATGAGGAGTCATGGAAACTGAAAAGCAGAGCTGAGAAGGAACTAGATAACTCAGTTTCTCGATGGGCATTGTTCTCTGGCAGTGAGGTTTACTACCAGGCTTGATAATTAGCATTACTATGCTAGTAATCCCATTGTTTGGTAGCAGAAAACCAGGGATGATATCATGATCAGGAAAGGAATGGTATTAATTGTGGGCAATCGCCGCTCACACAAGAGGTATCGTAAATTAATTCGATGACAATGAATAAAAAACAAACGATAAAAAAAAGGAAGGAAACTATCGATTATGGTGAAGAGAGCGGAGTTGTCTCTTCACTTTGTTGTTCTCGGCTCTGTTGCCTTAGCTCCGGGCCCCATTCTGTATATAAAACAATAAAACAACTAAACTAATTAATGCTAACCCAATTTATCACCCTACAGATGTACACCACCTCCAATAATATCGACCCGATATTTTTATTGCAACATCTACCTAATAGTTACCCACCGCCTCTATCAACTCAAGTCCGACAAGTCAAAACCCTTCTGCCCTACTTGCCAAATGCCATTCACTTCTCCCATAGCCCCACGCTCGTATACCACAGCACTTCTCCTAGCATCACTGGTATTTGCACTCGGGTAGTCTCTAGTGCGTGGGATATACACCCATAAGTCATTGAAGTGATAGCGTTTTGTAATGCCAGGAGGATCGTGAAGTTGTCGTACATGGGCAGAAACACCAGACTTTGATATTCGCTCTAAGATGGGTGGAGTTGACTATTGAGGATCCAGTTTTTGTCCTTTATCCTTTGCAAGTACAAAGTCACAAAGTAGAACCAAGTCTCCTGCCTTTGACTTTCTGTAAGCGACTGTTCTTCTTGGGTGAAGACTGTCTTGTCTTCTTGCAAGTCTCTCTGCCGCATTAATACTGGTCTCCTCTTGTCGATCAAGATAGCTAGCAATATTGTCTTCGCTCGACTCCAGGATGTCTTTACCTTCCAACAATGTAGTCTTGACCTATTCGCTGAGGCTTCCAGTAGAGGTACGAGTCAGAGCTGGGTTAAACCCAAGAAGGATCTCTGCCGGTATATAACCTTGAACTTTAACATATCGAGTATTGATGCTAAGTACCGCATCTCGTATTTGCTGCCCCCAGTTTACTGAAGAACCTTGTACAATGCAGGAAGCATGTATCCTACCTATAAGCATCTGCATATAGTGTTTACACAATCCCACAGATTGAGGATGCGAGATTGCTGAGGGAAAATGCATAACCCCGTGGTCGGTCCAGGTTTTGGAGATTAAAGCTCCAGTAAAGTGTCCCCCATTGTCCGTATATACAGTTAGTGGCCATCCTACTATTGGAATAACATGGTTGAGTAAAGCCTGGATCGTAGAAGCCTGATCTGCCTTTTGTACTCCAATGGCCCAGAGAAAACGTAAGAAATAGTCGATAACAAGTAGGATATAAACGTAACCTGTTGCCTTACACGGAGGATTGATCGGGCCCATATAATCCAGGCCTATCATATTCATCGGTTTGAACTGTAGAATAGACTTAAGCTCGCCTGCTTTCTGTATTCTTGTGACTCTCTGGCAAGGATCACAGGAGGCCACCCAATGTCCGATATCATTTGCTCTAGAAGGTCTATATACCTTGCTGTGTGCTCGTGCTAATGTGATACTATTCACAAAGTAACCATGTCCTTCATGAAGATCTGACAGGGCCTTCTCAACATCTCTCTCCAGTATGCAACTGGCCAGCTCTCCATTCTTCTTGCAAAAGAAGAGTCTTGGTTCAATCGCATCCACCAGAACATACCTCCTCATCACTCTCTCTGATGCTCTTCTCTCACTCCTTTCCAAATCCAGCTTCCTGACCCCTATTGTCCCGTCATCCAGCTCATCCAATCTAGCCTTTACTATCTTTCCATACATCCCTGACTCCAACCATTTTTGCCATCTCCTCCTCTGCATATTCCTAGCTGCTTCTTTCAGCCTTCCACTCCCTTCTTCCATCTCAACTAACTCTCTTTCCACTGCCAACACCCCTAAAAACTCTCCATTTTTCCAACCCATGACTTCACCATTTATCATCTCCTCTCCTGTAGTTCCTTGAACCATGTCTCCTACGAACTAAAATCCACTCCCACTCCTTAAAGCCACTGCTAGACCCCCATTTGTTTTCACATCCGTAATTATACCAGAGACAGGAATTATCCCTTCCATACATGGCCTAAGTCTCACCATATCCTCCGCAAAATGATAACTAAATAGTCTAGTTGGAAGTCGTGACAATCCATCCGCTATTGTGATAAAATGTATTTTAGCCGAACGATGTATTAGCTTTATATCATATTCGCCTAGTCGCTCCTACCATTTCGCTATCCTGCCATGTGCATCATTGTC